TTTTAAAGCAGAAAACAATTGGATAACTCTAAGCTGTCTTTTAAAAAAATCAGTTTTTTCCTTCGCCTGAAAAAATTACTCGATGTCACTTATCCAAACTTACCATGACAGATTAAATAATATAACAGGCTATACGTGTGATGTAAATGTGTAACTTAATATACTACATGATGCACCTTGTTAAACAGTGCTGTCTTTCATCTCGCTAGAATTTCCTTCAATTTTTTACAAATATCCCAGGCTCTCTCTTCAGGGCACGTTCTGCAAAGTCAAATTAAATAACCCATTTTTCCAAGTTTTTAAAGATAATTAAAGAATTCAAGTGGCATACATGTAGGCGGTTATTTTCGGTAAGTGTTTTACGGCGCTCGCAACTGCATAAAGTTATTATGAGCGCGCGGGACACATTAAACATTTTCAGTTGTAAGGAAATTTAGAATTTTGCCCGAGTGGCGGCCGAAGCCTACTCTTATCGATTTTATACCACCAAGGGATCTTTAAAACGGGCGCAACTTGCACACGGGACCTCCGAGTGTTTTCGCCCTCGTCCAAGAAGGTTAGGTGTAGATCTTTCCTACAAGAATATCAGGGTTGTGGCTGAAAGACAGAAGTCAGAAATAGCCAAGGAGTAGCAGTAGAAAGGCTGCAGAAAGAGCCCAGAGGAGGGGGGAAAGGAGGTGAGAGGGTGAGGGCAGAACGTGGAGACGAACGCAGACCACAGAACATTGCAAGAAAGCAGGAAAAGAGGTGAAAGGAGATAATTTTAGAGAATAAAATTTTCCATCGTAACCCGGATTCGAACCCGAGGCCTTTAAATGAGAGGCGAACACCTTAACCTCTTGGCCACGAGAACCCCCGTTTAGAAGTTTAACAGACCTTTTTAAAAAATGTTCTGACCTTAATAGAAGTGTAAAAATGCTTCAGTTGTATTTAGGTCACTATTTGAATGTTAATAAAAATGTTTTAAATGGAATCTTCAGATATATATTTATGTCTTGACTTCTTCATTTTCAACTGTTTAAACAAATAATATAAAACAAGTAGGTCTCTTAAGTATAACATCAGTAAATGCAAAAGGAAAAAAAACAATTTTCCTTTTTCTGATGTATCCAAGAGTCGACGAGAGGTTGTTGTTGTTTGTGGGATGTTGCTTTCGGGGGGG